TTTTTTTTTTTTTCATGTCTCTTTTTCTTGCCATACCAATATTTACAATCACTGATTTTGTGCCCTTTATTCTACTCGGGTATATTTATCACAAGGATGCTTAAAGGACAGCATCTTGTAATCAAAGCTGTGCTTTTCAGCTTTTGAAGGATCATGACCGTTTCAAGGACAGAAGGGATACCTGTTTCTGGTAGGGTTTGCATATCCTGTGAATTTGCAGTTGAGAGTTGTTTAAAGGATGCACTAGGTTAAAGCTTATACATGTTAAAGATTGGTGGTACTTAAGCAAAGTGCTTCTAAAGATGCATAACTAAACATTGCAAACCAAAAGATAATTGGGCAACGTAGTCCAAAAATGACAAGTTTAAGTCCCCAGGACGTTATTTTTAGTTGTGATTTCTCACGCAAAATACCTGGTCCTGAAATGTTCCCTTGAGCTCAACAAGATTTTTGACTTTATGAGAATTTTAGCAGGGAAAAAAAGTAGACAGGATATGAGGTAGTGATTTTTAATTTTTTCCGCCTTGTAAATGGTGTATTGAATGATGCAGGACTTTGAGGTAGGTGCAGGACTGAGCAGAAACACTGTATGAATCGTAATCTTTGGTTTCCCCTGAGCAAATGTAGGCAGGACGCTGTGAACTTCTAGTTGTGTTGTTACTACCTATGCCTAATTCTTCCCTACGAGGTGAGAAGTACTGACTTGAAGGGAAACATCAGGCCCTGTGTGTCTAGATAGTAAAATCAAGGTTCCCTTCTCTTTTTTTGCATCCTGTTGCGTTGTGTTGTTGATGCACTTTGAGTTGTGGCAGTGTTTGAAGCTGATTTCTGTGGGGTTTTTTCTCCTTAGTGTCCTTAATCTGCAGCATGAGTTGATTTTTATTTTTATTAATACTACTGTGAATGATCTTACGTATTTTAACCCCTCCTGCCAATTTATTTTCTTAATTTTTTTTTTTTTCTAAATAGGGATAAATTCCTCAGTAATACATTATCTTCTCAAGTGTAAAATGTGTTTAACTTACTTGGATAAATATTTAAGGTAATAAGGAAACTATTACTAGGACTGACTTCAGCCGTTTGAGCAAGAGGATATAGAAGCTTGCGACTCGCACATCAACAGCTGTGTGACTGTGGGAGTTCGAAACAAGAAAACTATATGGGCTTAGACTGGGTCTATCAGAAAAAATAATCTTTTTCTCCATTGAATGCGTGTGTACGCAGTTTGACTTGTGGTTCGTAGCACCTCTCAGCTATTTGAAACATCGGTGTTGGTTTTACAGCTGTGAAGGTAACTAATAAAGGCTTTGCATTGCCAGAGGTAGGAGAAAGAAAAGATGCCTGAAGTTTTCTTAAGGGAAAAAAAGAGGGAGAAAGGAGCAGGGGAGGGCAGAAAACCTGTGAGGTCAGAACTACTGAGTGTGTCGTATTAAAAAGGTGTTTTTAGAAACACATGATGTAATACTAAAAGTAACCCCTGCAGTGTCTTACTCCTACCTAGAGTATTTGGCAGCATTTTAGTTTGTTGCAAACTTGGTATGTGCTTGTGAAGCACAGAAAGGATTTATTTCAGATGATTAGAGAAGGTGATTATTTATCTCCGTAGCGGCTGGCATTAGAGGGATGGCTGTGTTCCTTTGATCCCATGTCAATGGAAGCAGTAACGTTTATGCCCGAGACCTTCAAGATCCAGCAAGTTAGAATCTTGTGTAAGTCAAACTCTTACAGGAGTTTGAATAGTTTCCGCTTCAAAGAATTCTGGTTTTTACAATGAATTACGAGAAATGGAATGTGATTTCATGCAGATGTTTTGATGCTTATTTTGCAGATGATGTTCTGACGCCGAGTACAGAGAACAGCAGTTTTCCCTGCCAAGCACCTCACTTCCGCCAGTGTGAGATCTGTTTGCTGTCTTTCCCAAAAGAGACCCAGTTCCAGCGCCATATGAGGGATCATGAGCAAAATGACAAGGTACGAATTTTAGTAGAGACAAACTTGGAAAATACCGGTGTATACTGATGTTTTCGTACGCTGACAAGTGAAGTTAAAGCAAGAAATGGTTTTCAGGTTTTTTAATCACATCACTAGTAATTACTACTTGGGGACCTCAGGATTTGATGAAGTTTCTCTTTCATGTTTCCTCATGTTTCCTTTGAGACAGGACCTTGCTTTGATGCTGTTTAGTTAGGTGGTTGTTTCCAGTTCAGGAATTTTTCATTTTAGCCGTTTTCTTTGATGTGTAAAATATGCAGGTAGCTGAGAAAACGTGTGGGCTTCCTTTTAATCAAATTTGCAAACCGATTCTGCACATAAGCATTATCTTCTTTTTATTGCTAACATTGATGAACTGGACCCCGCTAGTCTCTTACAGCTGTTTTCAGTAACGTCGAGCAACCTAATCCAGTGTGTATGCACTGGTCAGGAGATTCATGTCATCACTTCAGCTGCTTACAAATCAAATTTGGGAAAGAATGGGAAAAATACAGATAGAGTAATTAAGACCGGACTGGCTTTTTAAATGAAGCTTTTGGCACAGGTTTCATCTGTAATCTGAAGCATTTCATTTCTGTTCCTTGTTTTCTGTTTCACAGAGCTAAAACTACTTCACATGCGATGGAAAACCCAAAAATTATTGCTGTTTGAGGTAGCTGTAGGTGCAGATTAATTTTTACAAAACGTAGGACTTGGAGATGATAATTCATGTGTACAAAGAACTCCTTGCACAAGTTTCAACGTTGTAGAGTTGATCTATAGAAAGTGGAAGTTGATATTGTTAAAACCACGCTGATGGCGTGCTTGTGTAGAGTGAAGGGGCTCTTAAGGAATGAAAACTGATAATGCGGATACCAGCTGAAGAGGAGTCAGTCCTAACATAAACTAAGCTCTTTGCTGGTTCGATTATTAATTATGCTTTAAGGGGGAGTTCACGATCTCAGTTAAAGTAGGAAAATTTATTTCCATCTCTTGCTCCTTCTTCTCTCCTGCTAACTTCACTCTTCTCAGACAGTCTCAATTTTAAGTCTCTGCTTTCTTTAGTTCCCCTGCCTTCTTTCCCCATATGCCCTTGAAATGCTGTATTTGCGTTTGCAGTAGGGAGATGCAAAGAAGATAAAAAGACTGGTATTATTAAGGAGCACTATCGTATGTAGGAACTTGAATTGCTCTTTTTTAATTTTATTTTAGGCATTTTGATCTGTATGGTTATATGTGTTACCCAGGGTATATGTAACTTATGGGAAGACTGAATTTTGCCTTTATTTTTGTGGTTTTAACAAACAGCCTCACCGGTGTGACCAGTGTCCGATGTCATTTAATGTTGAGTTCAACTTGACACTTCATAAATGTACTCACAATGGTGAAGATCCTACGTGTCCTGTTTGCAACAAGAAATTCTCCAGAGTGGCCAGTCTGAAAGCTCATATAATGCTACATGAGAAAGAAGAGGTAATTCATTAAACCTCATAACTTAAATTTTGAAAAGACGTGTCAGAAGGGTTGTACCTAATCCCTTACCTATATTCTTTAGGTTGGAAGGTCGACTAAATGGTCTCATTCAGAAGAAATAAAAAACTTTTAATGAGGAGTCTATTTTAATAATAGTAGCAGAAATTAATACCCTTGGTATAAGCAAGTGTTCCCATCCTGCCTTTACTAACTGCTTAGTTACTTAAGAATACTTTTCTTTTGAAGCGTTTTCTGTGATTTCATGGGTGTTGATAAGCCCATGTGTGATAGTCTATGTGGTCATTTTTGATGGCAGATGTCATGGGGAGTCACTCTCACCATCTATGTCTTGCCTCATGAAGCTTTTCCCTCGTCTAGAAGTTCCACCCGTTTTTTTGAGTGGTTGTTTTGCTCGAGAGGCCTTCTCCTTCCTTTCCTTCACAATTTCGTTTTCCATTTTTGTAAGGCATTGGTTAAATTCTTATCAAGCACTTAATGCATAGGACTGTTTTGCAGACTTTGTAGTCATTACTGTGTTACTGCAGTTGCCAGAGTTGACTGTACTGACCAAAATACCGCGTTTTCAATCATGTAATTACCTCTTCCTCCTGGGAAGGCTTTTTTAAACTGGGACAAAAGCTGTCTGAAGTTTCTTACGCATGCCAGTAAGGAACATGTAACAGATGTATTGCCAAAGAGATGGTGAATATTTTTAGACATTTAATCTTAACTCTCTGCTTAGATTTTGTAAAATAAAGATACTCTGAGAAATAAAATTAATGGTTTTGAAAAGCAAAAGGAAGTCAAATAAATGCAGAGCTTTTAGTTTTCCTTGAAACAATATTTGACTTCGATTCTTCCTCTGAATTTCAGAGAAATGGCAATGCTTTTGCATTAAACTTTACAAGTATAATTTCCATGCAAAATGACATGGAATGCTAATACAGCTGGGAAGTGGTGTGCTTACCACTGCTGTAAAATTAATGGGTTGAAGTGTTACCTGTCAAAACCATTCTGTGTCCCTATTTGTTTCTGTCATCTTTTCTGTGACAATAGCTTAAGAAAAGTCAGTAGTAACTTTACTGTTAGAGTAGGCATTACTGTTAGAAAGTAAGTGACAACCTGTGTCATTTTAACCCATGAAAGTGTAAAATCCCTGAATCTACAGTTAAGAAAGTGGTATTCTTTACAAACGTTTATGTAGACTATAGCATAGTCGGACTGAGGTAGGCTTCTGTGTGTATCATGAGCTCGCTACCAAGGAAATAGGGAGAGGTGCTGATGATACTGAGCTGCTTGTTTCTGCTACCATATGAACTTTTTCAGGATTCAGTTTCAGTGGAGTTTCTTAAAATACAAATATTACCATGAGCTTGCAGTGATTATTGTCCATGATTTATATTCTGGGGCTCATAAACGCTTTTTTTTTTTTTGCTTGTACACTTTTATTGCTGCTCGCTTCCAGCTGCTGATGTCCAGAGAAGGATACATTCACCGACTTGAGCAAAGCTTGCCCGTGTGTGTAGCAGTTTGGGAACCTTTTGAAAAATCAGTCTCTGTTATCTCTTTCAGAATCTTATCTGTTCAGAGTGCGGAGATGAGTTTACTTTACAGAGTCAGCTGTCCATACACATGGAAGAACATCGTCAAGAATTGGCAGGCAGTAGGATCCACAGCTGCAAGTCTTGCAAAAAGGAATTTGAAACTTCCTCACAGCTAAAGGAGCATATGAAAACTCACTATAAAATAAGGTGACGATCACAGGATTGTAATGAAATGAGCAGATGTTACTTTTATGGTGATGGCTGGGGAAAGCGAGAGCAGCATTTCCAGTCAGCAAAGTACCATGATCTGTGCAGATAACTTCTTTTCTTTGGTATGGTGTTATGAAATGGCATTTGTTTTTTAAAACCTTGCTAAAGGAGGAGGTTATTTTTGGAGGCTTTTTTTTTTTTTTGGCTGTTCTCATATTTAACCACTCATACTGAGCATAGTTCCATCTGCTAGCTATTCATAAGCACAGGTTAAGATTTGCTAATGCAGAGCGCTTTTTGAAGTGTGTTTTGTGTGATTTTAAAGGTGAATGAAGCCTTTAAAGCTTCAATTCCTATTGAAGCAAATGTATAATAATTTTACATAGAATCACAGAATCATTTGGGTTGGAAA